TCCTTTCATTCTTTTTTTCTTCCTTTAGCAAGGGAAAAATCCCATAAATTCAAAGAGATGAAGTTCCAGTTTGTATAAAAAGCAGGTGCCTTGGCTTACTGCCTCCACTGCAATAAAACTGAAAGTCTGAAATTTGTGTATAGACGGGCCCCTTCCTTAAGATTAAAGTTAGCTAAAATGTTCTTGATCCTTCAATAAGTACCAAACAAATCGCCTTTCTAGATAGTAAAGTTTTTTTTCCATGCAAGAGGTGTCATGCATGTAAAGCTACTAAGGACCAAAATAAGAAAAAAAGCACTTTAATTTCTACTAGTAATGGAACAGCATTTCAAATTAAAGACTTTACAACCTGCAGAACTGAAGAAGTAGTTTATGTTCTGCAGTGCACCTGTGGGTTACAGTATATAGGAAGGACAAAGAACTTTATGGAAGAGACTCCGTGAACACATTCAAAATATTAAGAAAGGATATCAAAAGCATAGTGTATCGAGACATTTCTCTGTACATCATAATAAAGATCCATCATCATTAGTGTTTTGGGGTATTGAAAAGTACAAGAAAAACTGGAGAGGCAGCAATAAAATCTTATCCCTTAGTCAAGCTGAATCTAGATGGATTTTGTCTATGCATTCACAGGTCCCCAAAGAATGCAGATTTTGACCTAAATTGCTTTATTAGTGATTTTTGAATGTTTACATTTTATAGGTCCATTTTGTTTATTTAACTAGTTTTTTTACATATATCTCTATTTATATTTTTATATAAATTCATTTCATATCTTGGTATATGTCGTTTCGATGTATAATGTGTTTGGATATTTATAGTAATACACGTGTGATATGTGTGTGGTATATATTTTAGTCACTTTATGTGAATAGGTAAAAAAACAGTAGACTGTAACTGGTTGTACTCCTATGGGTGACACCAAGTTTTAACCTCCTAGTTCCATTATATTTTCAACCATTATTTTTTATTGATTGGCCCTCTTTATATGTATGATTCATTGGCAATCGGATGCCAGAGTCATATAGTTGTCGATATGGTCCTTCCCTGTTCCTTATGTTGTCTGGTTTTAATAGGTACTGTATATATCTCTTTTCATTTTTTTAGATATTTAATGAGCATAGTTAGTTTTGACCTTGCAATAGTATTATGTACTATTTTTTTTTTCCTTATCTGATTGAGTCTACTAAGGAAAGGTACCTTTTTTTTCTACCAGTAATTGTTCTAGTTTTTTCTTATCATTTTGGGTTTTAAATAAGGTTTTTTTATTGGCTGGTTTTATAGACTGTATATTTTTTTGATGGTTTTTTATAAGTATTTATCTTATTTTTTTGCAAGGAAATGGCAATTAGATAGAGATTTCGCAATCTTGTATAATTTTCCCTGGTTAGGGTAGGTATTTTTCACCCGGAGGGGGATGTAGGGTACTTTTTAAACTACGTCCCACTATTAAATAAATGCAATAGTTTTTAGGAACGGTGTTTGATTTCTGTCTGATCCCATGATTATTTTATCTAGTTTTGTTTTTTTATTACTAGATGTTATCAGTGTTTAGTTTCTTTTAATAAAATAATCTTATTAGGGTTCTCACTGTTTTATATAGATTTATCTTGCATTTAGCCCAGATCGTTATATTCTATACTTAATTCATAATGGGATCCAATATAATGGCCGTGGTTCTCCAGCAAAATAGCTGCAGGTGGTTTTGTCCTCTTTGTGCTGGAACATCAGACATCAGTCACCACACCCGCTGTCCCTGAGGAAGTCACATGATATGTGACGCAACGTGTTGGACAATACACAGAGACGTGGTGATGTCATTTCGGGCATGGGTGTCATCTTGGTACACCCATAGCAGCACAACCAGCGTTTTTCCATGAGATTCTGTGAGCTTGCTTTTAACCTCGAACATGTGAGTGAGCATTTGTTGGCTTTATGCAACTTGAATAAATTTAACAGTATTACACTATGGGAGGATTCTTCTTTTTTTCACTATATATGTGAGTTGGCTGAGCTTATTATCCTGCATGAAATAAATCCAGATACCAGGAACTGTCATACCTGTAGTTTCATAAGGGGGATATCACCACCACTGCTAAATCAGATCCATACCTGCTGAGTGGCCGCATAGCTCTATCTAATATTGTGAAGGCATATTGGCCCCTTGGGGTCGCTACATGGAGGTGAGGGGGCAATCCAGCCAGTGACGGATCCTTTTTTCCCTACACCTGCATCTGTCAGAGCCTGGGTCTGAACCTGGGCCTTCTGCGGTGAGTCACAATGTTTGTTCTTGCTGAGCCACCTGGAATGCTGGACAGCTCCCTTCACAATTATTTGGATGATCCTACCTTAAGATTATTTATCATGAACCTTGAATCCCTTGCTCCTCCCATGAACTTCCTGATATAAGCCATGTCTCTGCACTTCCTGTTTGCCAGATTATTGTGCTCTCCAGCCGGTATCGTGCTTCTTATCTTTGCTGTTATCAGTATTTTGCTATCACTCGTTATTGACCTTTGGCTTGTTCTTGACTACGCTTCTGCCTGATCCCAACCTGTGACTGCTCCTTACTGACCTTGGCTTGTTTACTGACCACACTTCTGTTTGATCCTTACCTGTTTATATGCTACTGGACCTCTGCTTGATCACCTCCTGGTGGGGTGATCCTGAGGACCACAATCTGGTGCTAACACACAGCCAAATCCATCTCCACCATCAGGAGCTCTGGTGAACACCGGTTGGTACTTAGACTCCGCACCTCAGGTGATCCCACTCCTCTGCCATGGTGACTTGCCTGTGTACCTATCCTGCTAGTTTCAGGTAAGCCTTTCCACTGCTATAGCAACTGGTCTTTGAACCTGACCCCTGATTATGACAGAATAATCTGGCCCAAACATGAAGGCCGCTATAGCAAACGTTGTAGCTCCTCTTAGGCAGCAAATTGCTGAGCTGCAGGAATTCGGGGTTACCCATCAAGAAAAAGTTGCCAAACTAGAAAGCATAGTGGATAGGCAACAGGGAGAGATTCATACTCTGTAGAGACAACTGCTGAACCGTGATGATACCAACTCACATATGCTACAGCTCCAACCATCTAAGTTTAATGGAGACCGCCGCCACTACTACGGGGGTTTCTTTAATCAATGTCGTATGTATTTCCAAATGCACCCTGCTAAATTTCCTTCAGAGAAAAAGAAGGTAATGTTTATTATTGGACTTCTGACTGGGGAAGCTCTAGCTTGGGCCTCCCCTTATATAGAACAAGACAATGGCACTCTGAATAATTTTGATACCTTTTTGACCGTGATAAATCAGGTTATTTGATGATCCCAACCGTTGTGCTACTGCCGAAGCAAAGTTGCATAGTCTGCGGCAGGGTAAATGCTCGGTCGGTGAATACACAGCCGAATTCAGATATTGGATCGCAGATACCACTTGGAACCCTGCAGCACAAAAAAGCCAGTTCCGCCAAGGGCTTTCTGAATAGGTAAAGGATGAGCTTGCCAGAGTAGATATTCCTAATGATCTTGACGAATTCATCCAATTATGTATCCGAATTGATCAAAGACTTACAGAAAGGAGGAAGGAGAGGCTGGGAATGTTTGGAAATAATAGGGGCATGCATCTCTCTGCTAGTCCATTTTGTTCAGTAGGATTCAAAAGTCTCTCTGGGTTCCAACACTCCTGAGCCTATGCAGGTTGATGCTATCAAGAGATCCATTTCCTTTCAGGAGAAAGAGAGAAGACGTTCAGAGAACGTATGTCTATATTGTGGGGACTTTGGTCATTATGCAATTAATTGTCCTAACAAAGTTAGTAGAACGATTACTATGGCTGATGGGATTGTGCCTGAACAAATAAACTCTATTAGCCAGTCTGCCTCCCCACTGATTCCTGAAGAAAATAAAGTGAACCCTCTACTCTCTCATTTTGTCATCCCCATTAAACTTGTCTCCGAGGGCCATGAAATCTCCTGCTCAGCTATGCTGGACTGTGGGGCTGGGGGGAACTTTATGGATATAGAATTTGCCCACAGCAATAATATTCAAGCAAGAAATACATTTACCCCTATTGATATGGAGACAGTTGATGGTTCACCCTTATCTTCAGGACCTGTTACCCATAAAACAGTTCCCCTGGTACTGAAGTTTGAGGCTGACCATTGTGAGACCATCAGCTTTCAGCTGATTACGTCATCCAAGTTTCCTATCATCCTGGGCATTTCTTGGTTCTCCATTCACAATCCTTCCATCAACTGGGAAGCACGGACTATAGATTTTACGTCCCCCCACTGTGAAAAATATTGTAAGAAAATTTGTCGACCAAGTTCTTCACCGGCCAAAGAATCATAAAGTGATATAGTAGCTATCCAGTCATATGACAAATTACCCCCACAATACCATGAGTTCCGGGATGTCTGTGACAAGAAAAATGCTGATCAATTACCCCCTCATCACCCATATGATTGTCCCATTGAGCTGCTCCAATGGGGCAGAAATACCTTTTTGGCTGCCTTTTCAATCTGTTGGAACCTGAATTAAAAGTGCTCAGGGAGTGGATCGATGAGAATTTAGAGAAGGGCTTTATTAGACACCCAACATCTTCTGCAGGAGCAGCCCTGTTCTTCATTGAAAAAGACTCCACCTTGCGTCCATACATTGACTACAGAGACATTGTCAGGGATCCCCTCGATCCCCGCCGCGATGGTCCCGGTGCAGGCGCAGTGTGCCGCCCTGTGCAGGGACTCGAGCATTAGGTCCGGGCCGGCCGCGGCGTTCGAGTTCGCACATGCGCAGTAGAAGCCGTGGCCGCCCGCTGGGCACCAATGGCAGCGCAGGGCGGGATATTTAAATGCCCTGAGCTGTCATTCAGTGCCTTCTGGTCTTACCTGTATCCTGTATCTGCGAACCTGTGAACTGTAAGTTGCTGACCCGGATTGTGCTTTGACCTTGCTGTATTTCTCCTGCCTTGACTCTTGCTTGCCTGACCTCTCTTGAATGCCCCCTATTGGATCTGACTTGCTGTTGCTGACCTGGCGTGTGACCCGACTATTCTCTGCCCGCTGCCTTGTACCGTACCGTCCTCCCTGTTACCGACCCGGCTTGTCTGACCTCGCACCTGCTCAGCCATCCATCCGTCCATCCCTCCCCCAGTGGGGTCTTCTGACCTCCTCATATCAGGCTCTTCCCCGCGGGAGCCCTCGGTGATTACCACTACCACTAACGGGTTTGCCCAGTAGTCACGACCTGGTCTCGGGGGGGCTCCAAGTCCATCCCCACCATCAGGGGCCCTGGTGAACAAGCACCCTGGGACTTAGACTCCGTGCTCTGGGAACGCCTATTTAGTGGAGTGCTAGTGGTACCGCCGGGTGGTCCGTTACAGTACCAGAAGGCCATGACGGAGCCTCGAGGAGGACCCTCCCCGCTGGAGGAAGTTTGTAGGCACCTGGCTACCTTGACGCAAGCTGTAAACGTATTACAGGACAGGTGTTTACAGATTGAAAATCGGTTCCAGGCCTGCACGATATCTGCCCCTGCACCACAGGCCCCGGCCCCTGCACCTCCGCCCGTAGCAGCCCCTGAGCCTGCTTCAGGGGTTCCCGCATCACTTCCTATGGCCGAACCCCGGGTACCCCTACCGGAGCATTTTCACGGGGACCGCACACGCTTCAGGTCATTCCGTGAGTCCTGCCTTCTCTATTTTGAGTTACAACCTCGTACCTTTTTGACGGAATCAGTAAAGGTGGGGTTTGTCATCTCCCTCCTGCAGGGTGAACCCCAAGACTGGGTCCACCGACTGAGAGGGAACAATGACCCCCACCTAGGCTCAGTTAACGTTTTTTTTTTGACGCAATGGCCATCTTATATGATGACCCACAGCGGGCAGCTTCGGCCGAAGCAACCTTGCACACACTCCGGGCAGGGCCGACGGGCGGCGGAGGAGTACGCCTCTGATTTTAGGCGTTGGATGGGGGACACACGCTGGAACCCTTGTGCACCAGTTCCGTATGGGCCTGTCAGAGGCCCTGAAAGACGAGCTCGCCCGGGTAGAAATGCCTGAGGCGCTAGAAGACTTAATTGCACTAACCATCAAGATTGACCATAGACTACGGGAACGCAGGTTTGAGAGGTCCGGTCAGGGTCGCGGAGGTACCTGGGGGTCTTTCCAGGGTCCCAGCTAATCCACTAGGCCACAGTTCCTGAACCCACCACCGGAGGATACTCCTGAACCCATGCAGCTAGGCCTGGCGCGACCTAAGCTATCTCCAGAGGAACGCCAGCGCAGACGCTCCCAGAACCTATGCCTCTACTGTGGTGAAGCTGGTCACATGGTACGATCCTGCCCGCAGAAACTGAGTAAGTGCACCTCTTCTTCCTTATCTGTTGGCGATGTTCATTCTTCCCAATACTTAGTTGTGCCCCTCTCCTTTCAGCTTCCAGAAAGGACCGTGGAAGTGACAGCCATAATTGACTCGGGGGCATGCAGCTGTTTTGTAGATATTAATTTTGCTCACCAGCAGGGTATTCCCCTCCAACCAAAAGAAAAGGGGTTAAACATATTTCTGGCCGATGGGTCCCGGATAAGATCAGGGGTGGTTAACCAGGAGACCCCTTCCATTGCTACCACCATTGCCAGCCAACACCAGGAACTCCTCCACTTGGATGCCATCACATCACCCCTTTTTCCAGTCATTCTGGGGCTTCCGTGGTTACGGGCTCATAACCCCCAGATTGACTGGGAAACCAGGGTAGTCTCGTTCCCTTCCTCATACTGTCGGGAACACTGCCGCACTTCGGGCCCGGGGGTTCCCCAGGTCCTCGTGTGCTCAGAAGGGGATGCCGACTTAAGGCAGGTCATTCCTGCAGCCTACCATGAATTCCTTGATGTATTCAGTAAACGGGGAGCAGATACTCTACCCCCCCACCGCCCGTATGACTGTCCTATCGACCTGTTACCTGGCTCAGAGATCCCTTTTGGGCGGATCTTCCCCCTTTCGGAGCTCGAATTGGGGGCCCTGAGGGAATACATTGAGGACAGCCTGCAGAAGGGATTCATCCGCCCCTCTACCTCTCCGGCAGGGGCAGGGATATTCTTTGTAGAAAAAAAGGACAAGACCTTGAGACCGTGTATTGATTACCGGGAATTGAATAGAGTTACAATCAAAAACCGTTACCCCCTGCCGTTGGTACCAGAGTTATTTCAGAGTTTAAAGGCGGCAGTGGTGTTCACAAAACTGGACTTAAGGGGAGCATACAACCTGGTTCGCATAAGGGAGGGGGACGAGTGGAAAACGGCATTCCGCACCCGCTTTGGCCACTTCGAATATCTGGTCATGCCGTTCGGTCTGTGCAATGCACCGGCCACCTTCCAACACTTTGTGAACGACATTTTTTAGGGACTTCCTGGATGTCTTTGTTATCGTCTACTTAGACGATATTTTGATTTGTTCACCTTCTCTGGGGGAGCACAGGGTTCATGTAGCAAGGGTATTAGGGCGGTTGCGGGCAGCACGGCTTATACGCCAAAGCTGACAAATGTTGCTTTGAACAGTCTAGTATTACTTTTCTGGGTCTGATTATCTCCACCGCGGGGGTCGCGATGGACCCTCAGAAAGTCTCTGCAATACTGGATTGGCCTGAAACCACAGACAGGAAGGGCGTCCAATGGTTTGTCGGGTTCGCAAACTATTACCGCAAGTTCATCAAGAACTTCTCGGGTCTGGTTTCCCCCATTACTCAGCTAACCAAGCTTGGAACTCGATTCAGGTGGACGCCGGAGGCGCAGGAAGCTTTTGAAGCTTTGAAGAAGCTATTCACTTCGGCACCCATCCTGGGTCACCCCGATGCCGCCTTACCCTACATCTTGGAGGTAGATGCATCAGAGAATGCGGTAGGTTCCATCCTATCCCCGCGAAAGGGCACCAGGGAATTGCTCCAGCCTGTGGCATTCTTCTAACGGAAACTCACCCTGGCGGAAAGGAACTACGATATCGGCGATCGTGAACTTCTGGCTATTAAGACAGCGTTAGAGGAATGGAGGTACCTGCTGGAAGGTGCCTCACACCCCATCTTGATATTTACGGATCATAAGAATCTGGAGTACCTGAGGACCGCCAAACGCTTACGCCCACGACAGGCGAGATGGGCACTGTTCAAGATTCAATTTCCAAATTACATACAGGCCGGGATCAAAAAATACGAAGCCAGATGCGTTGTCACGCATGTACGAGGACGCCAAGGAGGTCCCAGCGCCCGACACTATCCTGTCTTCGGGAAACTTCTTGGCGCTCCAGACGGACCTTCGTTCCAAGATAATGAAGGCGTCCACGGCCATACCCATCCCAGCCGGGGTGCCCCTCCAGAACAAGGGGGGACTCCTGTGGAAGGAAGATCGGATTGTGGTGCCAGAGGAAATCCGAACCCTGGTCTTGGGCCATTGCCATGACCACCCGATGGCAGGGCACTTTGGGTCAGCCAAGACCTTAGAGCTCCTCCGACGCTCCTTCTGGTGGCCTGACATGGCAAAAGATTGCAAACACTACGTTATCTCCTGCATCACCTGCCAGAGGAACAAACCATCAAGGTGCAAGGCTTGGGATCTTCTGCGGCCTTTACCGATTCCCCGAACGGCCTTGGCAGAAAATTTCAATGGATTTCATAGTCGAGCTCCCACCTTTACGAGACCACACAGCAATTCTTGTGGTCGTGGACCGTTTATCTAAGATGGCCCACTTTATACCATTAAGGAAGACTCCGTCGGCAGCCGAAACTGCGCGAGTATTCATTCAAGAGATTGTAAGACTGCACGGTGTCCCTGAAGACATCGTCTCAGACCGAGGGGTTCAGTTTACCTCAAGATTTTGGAGGCTCTGTGTAAAGCTCTGAACATCCAACTGTCCCTCTCTTCTGCATTCCACCCTCAGTCCAACGGACAGACCGAGAGAACCAACCAGACTCTGGAGCAATACCTGCGCTGCTATACATCTTTTGCTCAGGATGACTGGATACCACTTCTACCCTTGGCGGAATTCGCGTACAACAACGCGTGCCATTCGGCAATGGGGCAGTCCCCGCTCTTTTCCAATTATGGGTTTCACCCTACCTTCCTCCCGGACTTGGTCCCCGAATGCCCAATTCCAGCAACACAGGATACATTGACGTCCTTCTCCTCGAACAACAAGAAGCTACAGGAAGCCATTATTCGGGCCCAAGAAGACTACAAGAGGGCATTTAACAAGAGACGAAGGGGAGATCTGGTGTTGCGACCCGGAGAGAAGGTTTGGTTGTCTACTACCAACTTAAAGATGCTTTGCCCCTCAAAGAAATTGGGCCCTAAATTTATAGGACCCTTTTGCGTTAAGCGGATGGTCAACGAGGTGGCCTACGAACTTGTCCTCCCTGACACACTCAAAATCCACCCAGTCTTCCATGTGTCCCTGCTGAAGCCAGTGGTCCCAGATGCCTTCCCTGAACGAGAATCTAGACCTCCGGAGGCCATATCGGTAGAAGGGGAAGAAGAATTTGAGGTGGAATCAATCCTGAAGTGCCGAAGGAGGGGGGGCCCAGACCCAATTCCTAATCAAATGGAAGGGCTATGGCCCTGAGGACAATTCTTGGGAACCAGCCCATAATGTCCATGCACCTAGACTTGTCCGGAGGTTCTTTCGCGATCACCCGTGGTGGAGAGATCGGGTGGGCATCCAGAGGTTGCCCGTAGGGGGGGCAATGTCAGGGATCTTCTCGATCCCCGCCGCGATGGTCCCGGTGCAGGCGCAGTGTGCCGCCCTGTGCAGGGACTCGAGCATTAGGTCCGGGCCGGCCGCGACGTTCGAGTTCGCGCATGCGCAGTAGAAGCCGCGGCCGCCCGCTGGGCACCAATGGCAGCGCAGGGCGGGATATTTAAATGGCCCTGAGCTGTCATTCAGTGCCTTCTGGTCTTACCTGTATCCTGTATCTGCAAACCTGTGAACTATAAGTTGCTGACCCGGATTGTGCTTTGACCTTGCTGTATTTCTCCTGCCTTGACCCTTGCTTGCCTGACCTCTCTTGAATGCCCCCTATTGGATCTGACCTGCTGTTGCTGACCTGGCGTGCGACCCGACTATTCTCTGCCCGCTGCCTTGTACCGTACCGTCCTCCCTGTTACCGACCCGGCTTGTCTGACCTCGCACCTGCTCAGCCATCCATCCGTCCATCCCTCCCAGTGGGGTCTTCTGACCTCCTCAAATCAGGCTCTTCCCCGCGGGAGCCCTCGGCGATTACCACTAATGGGTTTGCCCAGTAGTCACGACCTGGTCTCGGGGGGCTCCAAGTCCATCCCCACCATCAGGGGCCCTGGTGAACAAGCACCCTGGGACTTAGACTCCGTGCTCTGGGAACGCCTATTTAGTGGAGTGCTAGTGGTACCGCCGGGTGGTCCCTTACAGACATGAATAAAATCACAATTAAAAAACCGCTGTCCACTACCCTTGATCTCTGAAATGTTGGAAAGACTTAGTTCTGCCAAAATCTTTCCAAAACTTGATTTACGAGGGGCATATAACCTTGTCCACATTTGTCAAGGAGACAAATGGAAAACCTCCTTTGGAACCAGGTGTGGGCATTTCAAGTCCTTGGGTATGCCATTTGGACTTTGCAACGCCCCTACAACTTTTCAGCATTTCATCAACAATGTTTTTCGTGATCTGTTGGACCAATTTGTAATTGCTTATCTTGATGATATTCTTATCTTTTCCGATAATTGGGAGGAGCACTGCAAACATGTTTGTACTGTGAAAGATTAAGGAAGAATAGACTTTACATTAAATTGGAGAAATGCGAGTTTGAACAAACCCAGATCCAGTTCTTAGGCTATATCATTTTCTCCAAAGGGAGTGAGCATGGATCCCGAGAAGATCAATGCAGTGGTAGATTAGTCAGCACCTGGAAAAGTTAAGGAAATTCATTGTTTTGTCAGGTTTGCCAACTTCTACAGAGAATTTATAAGAAACTTTTCTAAAGTGATAGCTCAAATTAGACAGCTGACAAAGAAAGGGGTACCCTTCGTGTGGACCCCTGAGGACAGGCTGCGTTTGGAAAGCTAAAAATGTTTTTCACTTCTGCACCAATTTTGGTACATCCCGATCCTGAACTACCCTTTATAGTGGAAGTGGATGCTTCTAATTCTGCCATGGGAGCTATTCTGTCTCAGCGAAGTGATGAAAAAATGCAGCTTTATCCTTCTGCCTCTCTCATTTGATGTCCTCAGCTGAAAAGAATTACGACATTGGGAATAAAGAGCTACTGGCAATTAAGGAAGCCTTTTCTGAATGGAGGCATTTGCTAGAAGGGGCTAATCATCCTGTAACTGTTCTCACTGACTGACCATACAAATCTGGAATTCATTTGCTCGGCCAAGAGATTGTCTTCTAGACAAGCACGTTGGTCTTTATTCTTTTCCAGATTCAATTCTATTATATCATATCGACCTGGATCGAGGAATGGTAAGGCCGATGCCTTCTCAAGGATGCTGTCTGAGCCTCCCCAGGAGGGCAACTCTGAATGTTCAATCCTAACTCAAAAGAACTTCCTAGTGGTCACAAGTACAAAGACATTCTTAAGTTTTCTCAAAGAGGGGTATGAGAATTTAAATAAAGGAATGCGCTAAAACCACAAACTATTCCTAATTTAGTGTAGCAACATTAGTGCAAAAGATATATATATATATATCTATTCTCAATTAATATCAAAAAATATCAAAATTATGTGCAAAAACTATTTTTTAGTGCATAAGTAATTTAAATAATTAAATTTTTGAATATAAAAATTGTCCAATTTTGAATTTCTTCAAATGTCCAAACAAATCCTTTTCAAATTCAAGTGCTCTCAAAGAAATTGTGCCAAAATCCACCACCAAAGTAAAGTTGGGTAACTCACCAGAGCTCCATGCTGATCAATCTCTAGATCAGCAAAAAACGCTTTTTGCTCTGGGAGCAGATGCAATAAATCAACTTCTCAGGTGTGATGATCAATAGCTACACAATCATCCATAAGGTAGGTATCCACCACTCAATATAATGGTTCCAGGAGCATTATATCACTCTCTCTTTTTATATCTCTCCACCGAGGTCATGTTTGGGAATGAAAGAAAAAATCATGGTGCAGCCAGTTTTTTTATAAAAGTATCCAACAATTTAATAAAGATTTACACTCACAAAAAGGGTGTCTTCACCGACACCAGTATAACAGCATAAAACAGCAAATGGTATAACAGTCTCCTGTTCCCCGCACACTCACTACAGCGCTCGTGACTCAATCCTCTCCACAGACATCAGCATCCAGCAAGCCAAGCCCTACTAGTTTTGTCATGAATGACCGTCCCTTGAAGACGTCATTCATGACGATGATCCTCCTAAAGACGTTAACCTTGAATACAAGAACGGTTTTTGGACTCAAGTACATTGTATCTATGTACCTGAGTCTGCTTGGGTGGAAGCCCTCAAATTAGTTCATGACTCTAAACTTGCGAGACATTTTGGGATTTCAAAGACAGATGAACTTTTGTCACGTTCCTTCTGGTGGCCTAGTTATAGGAAAGATATATATATATATATATATATATATATATATATATATATATATATATATATATATATATATATATATATATATATAAAAACGCTATGTGGCCTCCTATCTGACGTGCACACGTCAGAAGACACCCCAAGCTTCTCCTTTGGGGTTGCTCCAGCCACTTCCTGTTCCTGTTCCAAAGACCTTGGGGGTCAATTTCTGTGTACTTTGTAGTCGAATTACCTCCCTCAAAAGAAATGACCACTCTCTTGGTAGTTGTGGACAGTCTTACTAAGATGGCTCATTTTATACCTGTTAAGGGGGTTCCTTCTGCTGAACAAACTGCAGAGTTAATGGTTCGAGATGTTTTTAAACTGCATGGAATTCCTGATGATGTGGTATCTGACAGAGGAGTACAGTTTACATCAAAATTTTGGAAAAGCTTTTGTTCAGCTTTAGGGGTAACAGTTAACCTGTCGTCCTGCTTTTCATCCGCAGTCTAATGGTCAGACCGAGAGGACCAATCAAACTTTGGAGTAGTACCTTCGGTGTTTTGTCACTTATCTTCAGGATGACTAGCTGGACTATCTACCTATGGCAGAGTTTGTCTATAACAATGCTAAACATAGCTCCACCTCCCAAAGCCCTTTTTTCCTCAATACGGGGTATCATCCAGTTTTTATTCCTGATCTACCTATCACAATTCCAATTCCTGTTGCCAACAGATTATCTACATTGCAGGAGATTCAGGCAAAGTTGATCGAGACTTTGAGGGAGGCTCAGGAATGTTATAAAAAGGCTGCCGACAGTCATTGCAGATCACTTCCTACCTTTCATGTGGGCAACAAGGTTTGGCTATCAACCAAAAATCTGAAGATTCATGTTCCATCTGCAAAGTTGGGCCAAACATTTGTTGGACCTTTCCAGATTTCTGCTCAGATCAACCCAGTCACCTTTTGCTTAAAACTTCCTGACAGTATGAAGATTTACCCTGTTTTTCATGTATCGCTTTTCAAACCATTACATGAAAATCCTTTCTCTGGAAGAATTCTTCTACCTTCTCCACCTGTTGAGGTACACCGTGAAGAAGAATATGTGGTGGAGAAGATTCTTGACTCCAGGTGGTTTAGAGGAAAAATGCAATATCTTGTCCAATGGGAAGGATATGGGCAAGAGGAGAATTCTTGGGAGCCTGAGGAAAATGTTCATGCTCCTAGATTAACAAGAGAATTCCACCAGAGGTTTCCCCACAAGCCTGGTCCTAAGACCAGGACATACTGCGAGGAGGGGAGTACTGTCAGAGCCTGGGTCTGAACCTGGGCCTTCTGCAGTGAGTGGCAATGTTTGTTCTTGCTGAGCCACCTGGAATGCTGGACAGCTCCCTTCACAATTATTTGGATGATCCTACCTTGACCTTGTTTATCATGAAACTTGAACCCCTTGCTCCTCCCATGAACTTCCTGATATAAGCCATGTCTCTGCACTTCTGTTTGCCATATTATTGTGCTCTCCAGCCGTTATCGTGCTCCTTACCTTTGCTGTTATCTGTATTTAGCTATCACTCGTTATTGACCCTTGGCTTGTTTTCGACTACGCTTCTGCCTGATCCCAACCTGCGACTGCTCCTTACCGACCTTGTCTTGTTTACTGACCATGCTTCCGTTTTGATCCTTACCTGTTTATACGCTACTGGACCTCCGCTTGCTCACCTCCTGGTGGGGAGATCCTGAGGACTGCGACCTGGTGCTAACACACAGCCAAATCCATCTCCACCATCAGGAGCTCTGGTGAACACCAGCTGATACTTAGACACCGCACCTCGGGTGATCCCACTCCTCCACCACGGTGACCTGCCTGTGTACCTATCCTGCTGGTTTCACTAAGACTTTCCACTGCTATAGCAACTGGTCTTTGAGCCTGACCCCTGATCGTGACAGCATCACTTATGTTTTCTGCTGGAATTTTCACTATATCCAGTTGTTTGAAGATTTCACACGTGGACATTTGTTCTATATTGTCATTATTGTTGGCACATATCTTTGGTATCTGCGTAGTAATGCATCTTATATTTGTGTGTCACTTTTCAATTATTTCATGTTGTCACATTTGATGTTCATTTATTAGCACATGTAGTCCCAATATAGGGACTGGAGCATGGCATTTATATTTTTATTTATTTGTATTTGGTCACTTATCATGTTTTTGAGACACATTTATGTGGAAGGACTTTGTTTGGTCCTAAATGTCTGTCTCTAGTCAGGTTTCATCCTGACCGTCTTACCATCTAATTTTACAGGCAACATTCATGCCACTTGTTAGTCCATTTTCACTGCACGTTTGCAGGCACACTTTTTGCCATGTGTCTTTCACCTTGTGATTTATATCACCTTTGCCCTTGTTTAACTAGTAGCCGACCGCAGATAGCCGAATGACGGCTGCACTGCGGCCGGCCAGTTCTGAGTGGACGTCATATGACGTCCTCCCAGAACGCGCTCTTTTGCGTGCCCCAGGGGGCGCACACCCGGCGATCTCCGTGATCGCTGTGTCCTACGGACACAGCTGATCACGTGATGTGGTAAAAGGCCAAACACAGCGGCCTTTTACCATGTGATCAGCGGTGTCCAATGACACGCTGATCAGAGGGAAATGCAAGTGCCGGTTCTCGGCTGCACTTTCCTCACGCTGTCAGATCGTGAGGAAAGTACTGCCGAGAACCGGCAGTTGTCAGAGCGGGGATCGGCACCGATCATCAGGGCACTGATGATCAGTGCCCTGATGATCGGTGCCCAGCAGTGCCACCCGCAAGTTCCGCCCACCTGTGCCCAGCAGTGCGCCCACTAGCTCCGCCCACCTGTGCCCAGCAGATCACCCACCTGTGCCCAGCAGA